CTCAGGACCTGTCCCTGCATCCCTCTGCCCAATGACACTGTGTGCCTTGCATTTGAATATTCTGACCACTTTTTTACAGGACACATTACCTTCACTTTCAAAACTTCTATTTGCATTCACATATTTCAGGTTCTAATGAAAGAAAAGTTTCACTACAAATTCATTTTGCCATTCCCTTCTAGGCATCTCAGCCTGCAGGATGTTCAGAGAGTTACTCAGACCAAGGGAAAAACCAAGATGGAGGGCAAGGCATAGTCTCTCGTACATGACTTGATGCCTGGAATAAGCAGGCATAGCAGTCAGTCTAGGCCTCCAGAAAGGGAAAATCACTGGCTCTGAGATACTCTGGAGCCAAATAATGGCAGGTTTGGACACATAGAGGAATAGGAGATGGGAATGGGCCCTGATGTGAAGATGGCAGGAAAGACTATGGGGCTGGGCACTCAGTGAAGACGGCAGACAGTAGAGAGACAAAGGGTGGGTCACAGGGCACAGCTGGAGGATGGCCTGACTTAGCTAGCCCATTATTTTCCCCCAAACATGCTGCCACAAAGAACTTAAAAGGGAAGTATTTTCTTTTTTTTTTTTTTTTTTTAAATTTTTTGTTTATTGCAGTAACATTGGTTTATAACATTGTAAAAATTTCAGGTGTACATCATTGTACTTCTATTTCTGCATAGATTACATCATGTTCACCACCAAAATACTAATTACAACCCATCACCACACACATGTACCCAATTATCCCTAAAAGGGAAGTATTTTCTTGGTTAAGTTAAAAATCACTTGTGTTCAACACATTTCCCCATAATTTCTGATACAGCTGAAGAATATGTGTTCATGATGTTCCTTATTGCCCCATGCATACTAAGCCAGCCAGCTCTGGTCTATTCAATTTTTACTTCATTTGCAAGATCTTTGCGTGTGTGTGTGTGTGTGTGTGTCTTTTCCCCTCACTCTCCCTGATCTTTGTTCCATTTTCTAGATTACTAGAGCCTACACCAGTGGCACAGGGTAAGAAAGCAAGCTCAGGAATAAACCATTCTGTGATATGCTGCTTTTCTTTGTGAAACTAGTAGATAAAATGGTATCTGTGAATTTGATTAGCTATGCTTTGCCCCACGACCACATATAAACCCAAACTCATTATATTTCTGAGAAGTAAAATTTCATCTCTGCCTTCTCTGCTGAAGTGACCTCAATCCTTTTTAACCAGCAGGCCCCTTTATTGACCAATCTGGAGCGGGGCACAGGCCTGAGCTTTAGTTGGGGAGAATTCCCAGTCTCTTGCCCACTGTCTAACTCTGCCCCCAAAAGATGGATATGCTGAGCTTTGCCTTAAATACAAATAGTTTCACTATCATCATGAACTTTTCTCACAGGGTTCATTTTTTAATGTTTCATTATCTCATTGCTATTTTCTCCAGATTTTCTGTATTGTTCTCAAAACCCGAAACTCCAAACAAGGATGCAGAGTCTAGTATAGACTGTTCTACAGTCTGATGTAGGATCACCTCCCTCCCAACTCTATGCGGGTCTTCTTTCCTCTGTAGATACCAGCATTCCAGCTGCTGTCCATGCACAGGCTGTACTTGCCAGCCTGCAGAGCAGCTGCTGACTCATGCTTACTTTGGGATCTGCTAGGACCCCTGGCTCTTCTTCTGCTCTTCAACCAGGACAGCCACCACCCACCTCATAGAATACTCTGCCCATCACCTTCCGGGGTCTCAGCTCTGACCTGATGAGAAGTCCCCCACAAGTCTGCACTGCTTTACCTGGCCCTGCCCCCGCCCCTGGCCCACCTGGAAGACGTCGTTGGCACACTTGCGGCACAGGTTGTGCTGGCAGGGCAAGATCACCACCGGTTTGGAGAACATCTCCAGGCAGATGGGGCAGATGAGCTGCTTCTCCAGGTTGTCCATGCTGTGTGCATCCCCTAGCAGCGGCTTGAAACCCACTGTGAAGTTCATCCCCTCAGCGATTGTGCCTACCCTGGCCTTGGCCCTGGTCCTGGCCTTGTCTCACTGCCTCTGGACCCTTCCTCGCTTACTTCAGACAGCCTGTGGATTCTTATGTTCCCTTCTGTTGCTTACTCTTGAAATAGCTCTGCTATCTCTCCTGTCCCTTCCTCTAACAATTCACCTCGTCCTTAGATAGCTGTTTTCAGACACTTCTCTGTCTCTCTATTCTTTGCTCTGTACCCCAGCCAGGCCCATGTAGCTTTATCTACCCTTCCCTCCCTGAATGACTCTGTCCCTGGAAATTTCTCCTTTTGTTCCCCAAATGACTCTTGTTCACTCTATGGGCAGCACTGTTTGTCTCTCACTCCCCAGAGAGATTAACTTTAACGTGGGGGTGGGGAACAAGGGGCATCTGCGTGACATTCCAACTCCCAATTTAGCTCATGTAAGGCGAGCCACAGCTGTCACTGAGTGAGTGACCCTGACTCACTCAGGAATGGGTGACTCCCTTGAGCAAGAGCAGGGGTGAGCTTCACTGCTTAGGGTGAAAGGTGGGCAGTAAAGGTGTCAGGCTCTCACTTGCTCTCCCACTCAGAAGGCTCCTGTGAGCCCCTGACTCCCAGGCTCTGGCTTGGGCCCTTCTTCCAGGGCAGTGACACAGAATCTAAATCAGCCTGGATGAGAGGCACCATACATGGCTCACGGTGGGAGGAAAGATACTGCCAGACGCACAGACTGTCAGTGAAAGTTTCTGCCTCCAAGGCTTAGCCAGTGACCCTGGCCCTCTTCCTCTGACCCCTGTGATTCAGAACAGAGGCACCAGAGACTAGAGAGAGAGGCTCTGGTCCAACACTTCTGGTCCATTTTTGTTCTTGCCCAGACCTTTCTTATATCACCCTAGGAAAAGCAGCTCAGGAAGCTGGCACTGGAAGCCAGGGCCTGGAACGACCTCATGAGCATGCCCCTGACAAAGTGTGGGATTCTGGTCCATGACAACATCACCGGAGCCACTCCAAGGACTTTAAATTTGTTAGGAAATCAAGAGAAGCTGAGCTGGGCAGACAGGACCTGAATACCAGGAACCTATTTTGGGCACCAGGGGAATCAGTCTCCAGGGAAATTTTAGAGCTCTGACAAAGTCATAATCACAAGGCTCCAGGAACCTTCTGCCCCAACTCCATAGTTGTCCCAGACTCCTACTGTCCAAAGCAGGCTGGTCTCACGTGTGAGCACTGGGCTTCTGTCTTTTTCTCCTACAGGACTTTTTCTCCATCTCAGGCACAATTTGTCTTTTTTGGGACCAACATATGCACTGGGATTTGACAAAAACTCTTTTATTTACTGACATTCATTTGCCCTTCTCCCAGTCAGGAGAGAGAATTTTGAGGAGTTACTAGGCTCTGACCCTGGGTGGACAGGAAATAAATGGTGTGGACAGGATACCAAACAGGCAGTGTGAAGAGGCACGAGTGGGGAAAGGGTCTGTAAAAGTACAGTATTTTCCCTATCACGTTTCATGCCCCTGCTTTAAGAACAAAATATATGGTGATCAGCCTGCATAAGACGTGGTAAAAAGCGTGGAGGCAAGCAGGCACTGACGCATGAACTTCAGTCAACCCACAGGACCCATGCTAATGGGCGCTGTGCTGGTAGTTGCAGTCCAGGGAGAATCCAAAGGTGAGCTAAACACCCCTAGGCCTCAAATGCATTCATACTTTTCCTGAGGTGACTCATGGTGGCATGGAGTGACACTGGCAATGCCAAGTGCATGGGCACCAGAAGAAGGTGAGATGAGCCCCAGAAAGGTGTACTGGCTTAGGAATGAGGCTGATGCTAAGAGTTCTTAATACACAGAGTTGTAACAAAGGAGGGTTAGCTGGCACAGCAGCTCTGGGATAGGATCCACCCTGCTCAGTATCAGGATCTTGGTGCAGATCTTGCAAGTGGCTCAGAGACCCTACCAGCTAACATTGGCTCAAATCTCAAGGAAGGCACAGGAAAAAGAATGCTCAGGAAAAGTCTATCACCACTGCCTGAGACCCCATAAGGGTAGAGATGGGAGGGCTGCTCTCTAACAGATTAAAATTGGAGCTAAAAGAAGAGTAGCTGGGTGACCCTGTATCACCAGGGTCAGTGATACCATCAAGGACAGAGATGGCATCCCCACTAGGATCAACTCCATCAATGCTTCTGAAGTTGGGATTCTTACAAGAAGAGGGACAAATCAGGGTCAATGTCAGGACAGGGCTACTTGCTCCTTTCTTCAACGTGTCCAGTGGACTGGGCAGCAGAAGCACTCTTACTGGGTCAGCACCTATGGGCAGAAGAAGTTGGCATATTATTAACTAGAAGGAATGATCACCCAGAATTTAAAGCAAAACCACTCTAAGTAAGGATATAAACATCTGTAATCCATACTATAAGGATATAAACTTTCCACTTGTCCTTTAATTACTGCTGCATTTCAGTTTTCATACCTCACTCTTCTTCATCTTTTAATAATCATCTTCATTATCATTATCTTCCCCTTTTCTAAAACTTTGCTTGTTTCCTATAATGGAATTTGAAAAACACATATATAAACATTTAGTAACAATTCTACTGGTGAGAAAACTGTTATCTTGCAGTTACTCACTAGCATCACTAGGTGGCACTGGTGTGAACATCAGTAAACCCACACTTCCAAGTTTAACTACTTGGGGGTGGGGATAATCTCAGACACTTCATCTTCCTTTTGAGTAAACACAATAAGCTGCATCCTCTAACTTGTCTTCAACTACTGCCTTTTCTAGGCAGACTCTCTCACCCGATTCCTTACCTTAACTCCCACTCCATTTTCCTTAGCTTAACAGTCATGAGAGGCCAACACTACATTCAAACTGTCACTTTGTGGCATAAGCCCCTCAGAAACCAAGTGTATCCCCTTCTCTTTCTTCACTTTGCCCCAATACTGACTTGAGACTCCAATATTTAGGGGTTCACAGTTTCACCCCCAACCATTTCTGTCACCAACCATTTCTTTCATTCCTAACCCAGCTCTTACCTCAGTCCCTGTCTCTGGTTCTCACCTGACCTTGAAGGCTGATTCTGGACATTCTGCTGATATTTTCTCCTGGCAGCCTCATCAGGTGGTGGCTTAAGTGCTCCACAGCAAAAGCAGCAGCAGCAGCAACAACAGCAACAGGTCAGCAGAGCACACAGGAGGACAAGTGTCTAAAAGAGGAAAGAAGCGTCTCAGTCCAGCAGTTCTTCTATATTTCCATTCAAACTCCCCTCCCTCAATCCTCCCAGGACCCAGAAAATGAGACAGTTGAAGCATTTGTCCTCGGAAGGGAGGGTCGGCTGTCCTGCAAGAGGAGGGCTGCCCCTCCTTCCTTATTCTTAAGGGACTAGGAGGAACTGTGTACCTTGAACCAACAACTATTCAGCGTAAAATAGTATCTGACGCCTTCTTCGCCAAAGTGATCATGTATATATATTCCCAATGAGCCATGCTTGTCGTAGATTTTCCGCTTCTTAGGGTCACTCAGTATGGAGTGGGCTGTGTTGATCTCTTTGAATATTTCTGCTGCTTGAGCGTCCCCTGGATTCTTGTCTGGATGATACTTCAAGGCCAGTCTCCTACCCAGGCAATACCCAAAAGGAAGGTGGAGAGAGGATAGGGAATGGCTGGGGAGGGAGGGTTAGGATGAATGACAGGGACACGTCTCTGGATTGTGAAGAAGGAATGCATGGGACATGGTACAAAGGATGGCGGCAAGCAGCCCAAGTCTAAATTCCTTCCCATGCCACACTGAAGAGGAGAATGGCCCCAAAGTGAAGGCTTGGGGATTTAAAAATGGGTCAGAAAGCAAGGTAGAAAGAAAAAGGTTTAAGGGGGAAAATTGCAGGGTTTAATAAGGGGCTGAGGTCTGAACCTGTAGGCCTTTTTGACGTCTTCAGGTGAGGCACCCTTCTTAAGCTCCAGCACTGCATAGAGGGTTGACCCACTTTTGGACAGCCGGCGGGCTGCTTCATCCACATGAGACATGATCTGGGTCAGAGGAGAAGAAATATTTGTGAGAAACTCCACAGGCGAGGCCACGGAGAAGTGAACTTCCAGTGACAGGAAGCTCATTGCCTTCGGGGGCTAGGCAGGTAAATGACTCCAAAGGGACAAGTATAAGACAAAGTGAGTGGGATCTGCGACTAGCAGGAGAGTGCAGGTGACCTGAAAAGACGTTCAAATTCAAATTTTAAAGAGGAAACGTCTTCTCCTCACAGTTCTCAGCATCCTTCAGCTACACAGACCTCCAGACACCCCACATTCTAGAGAGGTGTACGCAAGGGTGGTCTAAGCCATGGGGAGAGACTGATTTTGTCCTGAGCTACTAGTAGCTTAAGGAAACGGCCCTGGGCCTGTCCAGGCTCACTGCTGGGTCTGAAAGAGCAGTGCGCCCCCGCCCTAACAGGCGGCTCAGGAATCAGGGAGCCACAGTCCCCACGGGAGAGGCCATTCAGACCACACGCCGAGCTGCCGAAGAGAAGTCAGGCGTCCAAAAGCCAGGACAGAGGGCAATGCTCGCCGCTGGGCCACCGACTGTCTTCCTCCCCCAGCCTGCCTCTCAAACCATCGCACCCTCGCCCCCCAGAGCCGGGGCAGTGGGCAGAACAGAGGGATGACTCAAGAGACGAAGAAGGAAGCGAAAAGGGGGAGCTGTGGGGCCGACGAGCGAGGAAACAGGGAGCAGAACCTCCGAGTGGGAGAGAGCTCAGAGGCTGTAGCCCAGGAGAACCAAGGCAGCAAGCTCCGACGGGAGTGCTCGGGTTCCCCAGGTCCCCGCTGGCTCTGACTGGACTCCCCACCCGGCCGGGCGCTTTACCTGAAGAGTCGCTCTCTTCAGCCGGGTAGGCCTCAAACAACCTCCATCGGGGTGTGAAACTTCTCACCCGGAGTCCACCGCCGACTGCGCTTGCGCGCAGCATCAACACTCCGGGCGCTTTTTGGCGCCGCCGGAAGGTCTGGGAGGTGAGGCTACGAGCCCTGGGACTTATTTCACTAGGGGGAAGGCTGAGCGTGGGGCATCGCCGGTCGCGAGTGGCCAAAGGCGGGGGAGCTTCGTTTCCAGCCCTACCCTTGGGCGCAGCCTCGAGGGGCATCCCTTCTTCTCCAGTGGGAGGGGGTCGCCTGTCTTGATCACAGTCAGGGCGCATCGACTCACTCACAGAAAGATAATGGGTTTGCAGACTGTGCTGTATGAGAGGTATGGTTTCTGCAAGCCTTTCTCAAGAGGTGTATTGCCTTCCCAGTCTTCTTTTTCAGAATTTGGGAGTCTCCACTTGGTCCTTTCTTTCTCTTCCACCTGGAAACGCCTACACATCCTTTAAGACCTACATCAAATGTTAGTATTCCTGGGAATCCTTTCTTCATTCCCCCCGTTGTTCCCACCTTACTCTGCGAAAGCATTTATCCTATTATATTGTAATTATTAGTTCTCATGTTCTTTTGAAACGATATCAAGAAGTCCAAAAGTCACTACGGTTCTTCACATCTTCATTTAAATACTTTTACATCATGAGGATGTATCATAATGTAATTATATAATTCAGATTGGATAGTTGTTTCTAACCATTTGATAGTATAATAGCCTTATAATGAAAATTATTATCTATAAATCTTTACATAAATCTCTTTTTTCCTTAGGGTAGATTCCTGGAAGTGGAATTATTGGGTCAAAGCGAATGTTTCTATAACATGTAACCAAAAGAGCTTTATTATTTCAATAATATCTCTCTGTTACCCCTCTTGTGGCTTTTATCACTCTCTTCCCTTTATTACAGTTATTTGTGCACATTTACCTCCCCTTCCAGATTTTAAGTGGTAAATCCTCCCCAAGAGTTGTGAGCCATCTGAGCAAACTAAAGAGTCCATACCCAAGAGGCACAATGACCACTGAATTGATTCCTTTGTTTCTGTAGATCTGTGATCAGTGTAGAGGGTGGGGATGAAAATCTTTGGCATCACGCACCCACTTCATAGATTCTGGGTCAGATGAGTTTAGAGGTTACTCACCAAAGTGAATGAACTAAAGCTGACAATTTTTTGGGTGGTTTGTACTATGCCAAATTTCTCTAACCTCCAACCTTTCATCACCATCACGAGACGACAGAACTAGTAGAACAACCAGGTCGTTTCTTCACTAGCACTGGGAAGAGAGCAGAAGACCTTGGAAGTAAGTGCACTTACAGTGAATTCTTCACCTCAGTCTACAGGCCCAGCGTGGTCCAGGCCCTGCCTCTCACTCCAATTCTATTGAGTACCACTGTCTTGCTTGCTCTGGTCTCTGCCACACTGCTTTCCTATCAGATCTTTGAAGACATGTGTTCCCTCCCACATCAAGGGCCTTTGGTCACCCTGCTCCCTCTGCCTAGAGACTCCTCCCCAGGCTATTTGCTGGCTGACTTCTCATCCTTCGAGGATCTCAGTTTCGTCCCTTCTCAGAGAGGCCTTCTAAATTTTCTGCCTCTCTCTCCTCACCTCATAACACCCTCACCACGATTTGTGAATATATGTTTATTTGCGTGTTGATTTGTCTAAGGTCGGCCTTCCCCAGTAGACAGCGAACTCCACAAGGACAGGGACCTTGTATGTTTGTTCACCATTGTATCCCCAGCACCTAGAACCAGGCCTGGCTCACGTGAGTGAATTAATGATTTGTTGAATGAGCTACAGCAGAGGGAGCCTTCTGCTGATTCAGTGTAGGCCCAGAGGTTGGGCCATAGCAAGAATTTCCTGGGGCAGAAGCACTTAGCCAGGGAATTGGACAGGATCACAGGGCCCATCTTCCCTCATATGGTCCTACACAAGAAGAGACATAGCGATTAAGAGAAAGAAGGCCATAGGGGAGATAACAATGGTGAAGCTGAGCTCCTTGTTTCTTGTTTGTCTTAGACTTCCTCCAGTTCCTAACACAGTTCCTGGGATATTGTAGGTGTTCAGTAAATGGTGGTTGGTTGAATGAATGAGCAAACTATTGTGTGCCTTTTCAGAGGCACTTTTACCTGATCATCTCCTCTGAGCCTCACCACAACCCTGAGAGGTGGTATGATCACATCCCTGCTTTATAGAAGAAGTGAGCCCTGAGAAAGAGGGCAAATTAGGTTCTGAGCAGAGGTAGTAAACATCTCTCACATCTTGGCAGAGGCTCCAGAATGTTATTACTTCTTATCATTGCCCTCAGACATTCTAATTAATTCTACTCATAGTTCCTGGCTCTTGAAATAGCCATTATCTTTAAGTCTTCTGAGCTTCTGAATAAAATGACGCTGCAGCCTGTAGGCTGCAGAGGTGGGAACAGAGCAGGCAAGTTGGCCTGGCATCCTTTGGCCAGAGGCTCTCCACTTTGCCTGCACCTAGAAACAGAGCCCCTTTGACTCTGTTTTTTTATGCACAAGATTTCTTCCAACACCCAGCACAGAACTAGGAAGAACACACAAGCCAGGAGTCAGAAGCCCTGGATCTTAGTTCTGGCTCCAGCTCTAACAAGCCGTGTGATCTTGAACAAGTCACTTAATCTCTGAGTCTCTTTTTCCTCTTCTGTAAAAATCTGTGCCATTTCACAGGGTTGATATCAAGACTAAATTATATTTGGTTGTAAAAAGAATGGAAAAAATAAAAATAACTTTGCTAAAGAATGATTACAGACTAAAACCTTTTCTGGAATCATTTGCCCTCCTGCCATACCTTGAGTCAGTGATCTTATAGTTTACTACCTCACAGAGCCATTTGGTCTCTCCTGGAGAAAACCAGGAAGCATCCCTTATTTGCCCACAAACAACTAAAGTTTTAGTCATATAGCTAGAATACACACATACAGACAGCAGACATTGGCATATTTATACCCAAAATATCACGCTCTCGAACATATGCGGTGGGAGAGAGAGATCATAATTTGTCATACCCAACCACCAGGTTCTAGAATTGTACAGTTTTCAAGCTGGAAGGAACCTCAGAGACTTCACTCTCATCCAATGCCTTCATTTTGTAATTGAGGAAAATGTGGCTTAGACAGAAGGATTGACCTCCTCAAGGTCAACCAGTGAGGTCCAAACCTAAGTCTTCTGACTCCAAGTTTAGCGTCTACACAGTGACTGCTCCTTATATACACCAGCTCCCTCCCCACTTTAAAATCTAGGTCTAGAGACAGACCTAGCTGTAACTGATATTCACCTCCTTTCGTGGGTGATGTTGGGTAATGGCCCTCTTTCCCTCCCCCTGGTGGAAGACAGACATACTACGTGTGACCAGCAACACCTCTGGCCCATTTAGTTTGCTTGTCCTCCTCAGGGCGGACATCTCGAGGTGGGAGGTGGAGGGCTTCCAGGTGGAGAGGCTGCGTCATACCCCTGTCCTCTCTGACCTGCAACCCCAGACTCTGCAGACCTAAGGGCAGGCTAATAGGGCACACTTGCCTCCCTTGTAAAATGGAGATAATAGGGTCTACCTCTTGGGGTTGTTAGGAGGATTAAATATTTAATTTGAACAGTGCTTGGCACATGATAAGTGCTATGTCGTTATAATCATGATCATCCTCATCATTCTTTCTATCCTCTTTCCTCCCAATTTTGGAAAGAGAGAAGTTGCTTTTCATTTTGTCTCTGGGAAGAAGGGAGAAATCAGCATCCTTCCTCTAAGAAGATTTGCAAATTGTCATTGGTATCCTTCCATCCCTTTTCTACATCCTTCTTCCTGCCTCTTAGAACCCCATTTTCTTGTTCCCCTACCCAATGTCCTCGTGCTGCCCTCTGGCTATCCAAAATATCCCCAGCAGTCCTCCCCAAGCAGTCAGAACTCCAGAATTACCTCTCACTTCCTCTCCTTTCAACATTTTTAATAAAAACTATTAACTCCATAAAATGATCTCCTCCTTAAGGGTTAGGTGGAAAGCAATCTGATGAAAAACACTGTAATTCAGCTTACAGTGAGAAAGACTATTGATATCTCACCCTCTTAATTCCTATTCACACAAAAGGAACAACTGGTAGAATTTCAG